AACGGCAAGGCAACACGAAGGGATGGTAGATACAAGACTGCAAGAACTAGCAACAGCAACAAAAGAAAGAGTGAATGAAGTGAGTCAAGCAATGGCATCAAATTTAAGAGATATGGGCGGAACAATTTTTCAAATTAATGCTAGGCAATAGACAATCGACACCATCAGCACCAACACAAGCACCGCCAACAAGAGCAGACGATATTCAATCAATGGCATTAGAAGATGTTGAATTACCACAGGAAGCAGTAGATGACAGTTTTTATGGATCAGCGCCACCAATTCAACAAGCATCAGGAGCATCATCACAGCAACCGCCGCCATTACCGAGAATGCCATTATTCAAAACAACAATAGATAATACTATTAGTCCCGCTTACTGGAAAGACAACCTTAATTTAACAGTAAATGATATTAAATTTCAATTTTATTTGAGGAATTCAAGTGCCAGAAGAAAGCGAAATACAGGAAGAATTGAAACACAAAGGCAGAGGCAAGGCGAGAACATACAAAGAATATTTAGTAGATATGATTTTAGATACTATTGATAATGGCGGGTGGATAGTAAATTTAGGCAAAAGTAGAATAGAAGAACTCAAGGCAAGTTTTAAAGGTAAAGGAAAGAAATAATATATAAATAATTAGAATGATAATATTAACTAAAAACATACTGAAAAGAAAGAAGCAAAAGTTCAATGATAAATATGATCACGACAGTTTTTCAATACATAACCTAACAAAACCAAACACACCAACAACAATACAACCACCGAAAATGATGAAAAAAGGCATACCGAGAGAATTTATTGACATTGCAACCAATACAGATACAATTGCAACAGAAACCAGAGAGACTCAATAAAAGTTATACAATGATGCAAATCAGCAATTAAATATGACATTTGAAGCGTTTAAGGTAAAGGAAAACCAAGACAATATGTTTAAAATAATGCTTAAAAACTTTTGGCACAACACACACAAGAGAAATGAACCAACAAGAACACACGCAACACAAACACTGAAAAACCAACGCGACGCGATGGTGTCAGCCTTTACTAAAATGCTCGACAACAACAAACCGCCAGAACCACCGCCAAAGAAACCACCAGATGAGGATGACAGCGATGAAGAAGAAAAGAAGTTCAAACTGACAAAAATGATAGAAATAATGCTACACAACGGCGCTACAGTAGCAGATATCATATTAAACTTATCGCACAGCGCAATTGCAACAACTATAAATATCGCAGGTTTAGTCAATCAAATAACAGCAGGAAATGCACAAGCTAGCAGTAGTTCTTCTAATGAAATTATTAGTGTTCATAGTTCTCCACCTGTTACTGTCCATAGTTCTTCATCTGAAAGTCCAACAGAAATACCAGCACCAACTGAAGACGAAGAAGAAGAACCACAAAAAGATAATTTTGAAAAATTAAAATCTAAATAATATTATATATAATGGGTATTGGTCAAAGTAAAAATAATGAAAATAATAGTTTGGAAGACATTAAGAATTTAAGTATAGATGAAAAAACACGAGCAGACACTTTAATTATTAAATCTCTTCAAGAATGTGTGGCACGAATTGAGAAACTGGAGAAAGAAAAATCTGACAAATTAATATATAAACTTCCTGCTTTACAATTTTGCAATGCTTCGTTAATTTAAATTAATAATATTAACATATAGTAATATTATTAATTGCTATCATAATCTGTCATTTTATCCTCTGGTATTGTTGTTGAAGTAGTACTACTTATATCATCTATTAAATCTTCTTCATCAACAAAATTATTTTGAAATCTTAATAATTCCTCGTCTGTTGGTCGTCTTTTTAACACTTTATAAAGTTTATGTATCCAAGAATTTGTATGAAAATTATAATTACCCCTACGATAAAATCCACCACATCTACATAGTTTCATTGGCGTATTTTTATATTATATTAAGTTAGAATATCTTTATTCATCATTCGTAATTTGAAACGCCTGTTCAAATCTGATATGAAACATTTTGTTAATGTCTTTAGCATTCATATTCACGTAGAAGAAACTATAAGGTGCGTCATTAACGGCTTGATGATACATATCTAATAATTGCTGTTTATCAACAATGGCGCTATTTTCTTCAATAAAACTCATTAACTCACTTGCATTTCTCAACCTAAAAATATATAATGAACTGGCATTTAAACGAATGATAGGCGCTAAAACATTATATTTTTGTGTTGAACAAATTACACTTACTGCATCGTGCCTACCTCTTGTAAATAATCCATGTAATAATTTACTATATCTAACAAATTTAGGATCGTCCGCGTGGTCATCTATAACGATTAATATTGAATGCAGTTTCTTTATCTTTTTAGATTTCATATAATTAATTATTTTCTTCTGTCTTTCAATTACATTTTCCAAATCACTTGGGTTATAATTATCAAAATATATTTGTTCTTTTTCATCATCCACGTGCAATTCATCCCTGATGTATTTTTTAACTTCTGTAAAAGTTGGGTCATTATGAACGCTGGGGGAAAATATGAATATTCTTGCAAATGAATTTCTATAAACATTTAAAATAAGATTCTGAACTAAAACTGTTTTGCCTCCCGTCGAACTCGCAACTATAATACTTCTAAATGGTAGTTTTGGCACGTGCTCATATTTGGATTGTTTGAATTCATATTCAGTTATGTTTATTGGTTTTATTATTGGGACATCTGTCATAGTTGATATTAAAGAAATATAGAAAATTATATATAAAAATTAACTTGTAATTAATATTAAATGGAACATCATTATGTTATGAGTGGCGGTGAATAACATAATGGAACAGGTTTTCCATTGCTTCAATCAATAAGCATTGAAGATAATTAGTTTTGTGTCTTGCTCGCGTGTGCAAATGAAAACCCAAGTGCTGTGCCCCACCAATATTCTATTATGCATGAAAATAATAAGATTAATTAGAATAATTTATCTTATTATTTAATATGGATAGAAGTTATTCAGATTATATTGATATAATAGATGAAGTAGAGAATATAGAACAAGTAATAATAACTGACAATAAAATTAAGAAATGCTGTTATTATACATTAGAATTAATAAAATTAGGAATACAATATATCAAAGATAAAAATGTAAATATTAATATAAATGGGAAAAAAGAAAAACAAAAAGAATAAAACGGATACTACAGTTTCTTCAACAGATGAAGACAAAGAAGAAGAAATTGTTAAGGAAACAGCACTAACCGAGTTTGAGTGTCCTATGTGTAAAAAGATGTTAGAAATGAAAAATGAAATAGAAATACAAAAGAAAGGAAATTGTAAATGTTCGTGTATTCCGACAAATTTCAAATTGAGTAAAAACGATAAGAAAATGAATATTGATAAAACCAAAGACAGTATAAATCTGGAAATGGATGTTCATAATATAACTTTTAAATGGGGGGAGGCATGCGTCGCCATCCGATAATGGTGATAACGAAGCACAGGAAACTATTAAACAAATGATGAAAATTTAGTACTTAAAGAGTAGATTTTACATTAAATCAATTTTATAAATAAATAAATATTTAAATAAATAATTATATAAATAAATATATATAAAATGTCTGAAGTTGAGAATAATGTTATTTCTGAACTATCAAGGAAGATGATGACAGTTAGTAAAAATGTTAAACTGTTGTACGAGATGATAAAAACTATTGACGAGAAACTTGATGCAAAGGCAAACGAACCAAAAAATAACAATGAAGAGAAGGAAACGATTGATAAGATCTTTGAAAAGAAAGGGATAGGCAGACCCAGCGGTGATTATGACACGAAGCGTAAAAAATATTGCGATATGTTAAATAAGGGGCAAATCAAAAGTCCAAAAGAACAAACATTAGAATATTATAAAATAATTAAGGGCGATGATGGTAAATATGTAATTGTTGAAAATTAAAATATAAATAATTCTAATAATATGAATTTATTAGAACTATTTTCAGGCAGTGGTTCTGTTTGTAAAATTGCACGGGATTTAAGTTTTAATGATGATAATCCAATTTTAGCAATTATAATTTAATTATGCTATTTTAATTATAATTTTATTTTATTAATTTAATTTTAATTTATTAATTTAATTTTAATTTATTAATTTAATTTTAATTTATTAATTTAATTTTAATTTATTAATTTAATTTTAATTTATTAATTTAATTTTAATTTATTAATTTAATTTCTTGTAAAAAGTACTTAAAGAAATATTAATTATATATATTATCATACAAATGGGTGTATTTACAGAGGTTGAACAGGAAGAAATTATCAATGAATTCTTAACTTATATTGAACAACAGGAAACTAAAATAATTGATGTTTTCTTGAGTGATAATGATAATAAAACAGAAGAAGAAGAAGAAGATGACAGTTACGGATTTGTAACTGAAAAACGGTTAGAAAAGGAAGTTACAGAACATCATAAAATGATAAACAATATTGAAGCGAAAAATTACATCCCATTAAAACATGCAATGATAAAATATATGGAACAAACCAACAACCAACGAATAATTAGAAATGCTGGAAACTATTCATACAGTCAAAAGACATCCAATTGGTGGTATTTAAGCTTTAGAGAATTTGAATGGTTAATCGAAATAAAAAAGAATGGCAACAAATGGATTTGTAGCAAAGAAAAATTAGATGCAGTTGATTTTAACATATTGTATAAATATAAAATGTTTGAAAGAAGATTTGAATAATTATAAAAAA